TTGACATCGCAGGATGTGTGATTTTTTTATTTGGTATTATTTATTTTTGTAGGACGTGCGATATTAAGTAGGCAAATGAACTCAAACACGTCATGTTACAATTATTGTGCTGCTTGCTACAAAAGGAAAACTCGCATGTCAGGGGTACTTGAGTGAGTGACATGCAGGCTCTGCATGCACAGCAAACCACCAATCACAACCATTCTTGATCAGATCACAGCAGGATAACCGAGCTAGCTCAAAATATCTCAATGTCAGTTTTTCCCAATATCATGCAGCCCTACCATTAACAGCTGTGCAAAATGTTATGAAAATCCATCCTACTTTTGTTCAAATAGACCAACAGAATGACATTCCCATCCAAAAAGCGCACAGCAAAACATTTACATCCATGCAAACTGTGTATGCAAAAAACCCATCAATTCCTTCTTTCATATCTGCTTCCTTTGTCCCTGGAGGTTGAAACATGAGTAATTTCTTTCAGGATGTAAGTAAGCATGAAAACCATATAGCACAAGGTTTTCCCGACCATAACGCTCTACAGGCCTAATGCATTGAAATGCCATGTACCGACATGATTGATGTCAACACCCTCCTTTTAATCACCTGGGATGCATGCTGCCTCTTGACAGTTGGGCAGCCATTTTGGATTCTTCTCTAACGACTAGAGAGACAGGTTGCAGATGATGTTAGCTGACGCCGGCCTCACGGATCACTACCAGTCTGTCAGTGATTAAGTGACTCATCTACCACTGGTAAACAAACCCCCAGTAGAGCATCTTGCATCCATCAAAAGATGGCTTTGACTCGCTCCGCTTATCTAACTTGGAAGGAATCCATCATACCTGTACAAAATGCTGGATGCTGTGTGGTCTCTTGGGACTCGTCCCATAAACAAACACATTCTGTTAAAATGCAGCCGTACATACAAAGCAGGTCCCGTTACTTTTGAATGCAGAAAGGTATGGCATTCCCATATGTCTCGCTTCAGGGAAATCAAACTGAAAACACTTGCAAGATATTTGTGACCTGATTTCGGGAACTTCAACAACAAACTTGATAAAACTCAAATGATAAAAAGTTGACTACATAAAGTAAAAAAAAAACCTTTCAGTCTTTCAAACTTAACAAAGTTGCAGTTTCTTATAGTACTGTTCAGTGAAAAAGTAATAGTAAATAGAATTTTCTTTTTTAAATACGGCTGACAGACTATGCTTTAGAAACAGTTCCTTGAAACAAATACTCTTGAGGAAATCATTTTTCTGTCCCTTTAAGGCCAAATGTGTGTAGCACAGACTGTTCTCTTCAAATCCCAAGCAATGCACTTCAGTCCTTATTGATATCTGCGTGAGTAGGACAAGTGTGGTGATGTAACATATCTTTCTTAAGTTTGATTTCAGCAGATTAATTCCCCTCTTACGCAACACCATATTGCCTTTCAAGCTGTCTCACTGATCTCAGGATCACCTTTGATTCCCTGCATGGGTGGCTGGCTACTGAACTGCACTCCCTTGATAAAAGCTTAGAGAGGAAACAACACCACTCTAGAAAAGATCCCCAAACATCAGAATAAGACCTGATGGCAGGAAAGCGGTTTGGCATCACGCCGCATTGAGAGAAAATGAAAAGGCAGCGAAGGATAGCGACTTAGATGAATTCCTTAATATGGTGATTAAAGTTGTGAAAGATTAAACAGACAAAACAGTGTTTGATGCAGATCATCCAAGGATAAAATCAACATCTTCTGACTGTAGCCCCTCTTCAATGGATCACATTCATGATATTTCATTGATAGGGAATACAAAAAACTTCAAAAAAGGGTTTTAACTTTATCATGGGCTCAAAACACATTTTACAGGCTCCGTTTTTACAGAAATATATGACACATAAGGGACCACAGGGAACATTAGCTGAAGCTGAAGCATCATACCAGCAAAATATTTCATCAGAACAGCGCTGACAGTGTTTTCAGTACACGTTTATACTCACATGACGGCTTTTGAAGAACGTGTCACGTTAATTTGTGCCGACTTTGGAGCAGGGACACTTTAATTAATCCATGAAATATTAAAGGCGAGGAAGCTATTCATGAAAAGGATGTGATCAGATACAGTAATGCTACATGTGTCCTAAAATAACATGGAGAGAAGGCTGATTGATCTTAGCGGACAGCTGGGGAATGAGGTCACATCACAAGAATGGTTCAGCTTAGAGAAACAATGGTTTAATGTGTTGAAAAAATACAGATCTTTTACCACCCCTCATATTAAATATATTTTTTCTTGATATGAACTCCAACAATTTCTAAGTTGGGCAACTCACATCCTGTCTTTTAGTCTCTTATGAGTCAAACTCCAGAAATGTTTAATCCTACAATTCCCATATTGCAACTGAAATCTCTTTTCTTAGAACCTTTCCTTCATGGTAAATGCGCATATCTATCAACATTTCACATCTCCAGCTTGTAATGCAGCTTTTGATGCAGAACTTTAAATCTCAAGTCTATATTGAGAAAATGCTGATGACATCATCAATTGTACACATTAAAGTCCATTTAGATGTCTTGCGGAGTTCAACTACATACTTTATATGGGACAAGGTTGAAAAGCTTTTTCTTCAGCTCCAAATGGAGCCGTGTGAAATCGCCTATAAATTGATAAATTGCCTCAAGTGTAATTGACAATTAAGTCAGCAACGGCTGGGTCTGAGGACTGTGTGGAAATGAAAAAATGTTTCATACCTCCTTTCTGCTGGTAGTTATGGGCTTGAGGCCACATTTTCATATGGGACCAAAATTGTCGGTGGTCAAGTTGCATTGTGGGTAATGTAGGCGCCAGGTTTTGACATGAAAACATTTCCGAACATTTTTTTTTCATCCATACTGCCCATCATCAATATAACACTTGTAAAGGGGTGCAATGCTCAGGCTAAGTCGCTGGATTACTGCCATAGGATACGTTATCTAAACTGTCTCACAAACTGAGTAGTAGGCTACTGACAAGTAAACCGATCCCCATGTGTACAATTGGTGGAGTGGCCCTTTAACTTAAAGCTCTCAAAGCGCATTATCTCACTGACACAGCAATCCGTAACACTTACAGTAAGTCATAAGGTTTATCACAACTTATTTTGTCTTATATTTTTACTGTCTTACACATTAATCTCAAAAGCCAAATCAAGGTCACCTCTCCGAGCAATTTTCTACACTCCACAGAGCTTATTCACAGCTCCACGCTCCATTTGTCTCCTGTAAAAGAAAACACTGCAGCCGATCTGTAACTCCCACCTGGACAGATTGTGTGATAATAAGACCAGAACAGGTGAAATTTGGCTCGAATTATCAGCTGGTGCAGCATTAAATCCAGACCCAAGTATAAGCATCATTAAGAATCTAAACGCATTCTTCTGTTGAAGGAAAATCTGCACATGTGCCAGTCTACAACACCAGACTTTGATGTGTCCGCCCATATTTCAGACACTAAGTGTTTGCTGAACTGCAGCCAACTGCTGAGACAATACTGGGCCTTTGAGATATACCATGGTCTCGAGTGGTGACGCTCTCAGGCTATAGAAGAAAGCTGATAGCCAAGTGATCCTTCAGCTGACTGAGGGCCGAGGCTTTTCGGTTTATGCCATCAATGTGGGGATAAAGGTGATCGATGTGGGAAAACCAGAGAAGAAACAGTGGGATTTACAGCTGCTGGCCTCATTCACAGGCACACATTACATGAACTACAACTATACATTGCAAGAAATCCTAATTTTAATTGGGAACATTTACTTATTATACCATACAGTTTTGTGAAAAGGCATTTTATTTAAACATATGAATCTTTGTTTGGCACAATAGAAATTGAATTCAGACTTGGATCCTCAGAGTGAGACATTCCTCTGGTTTGATTGTATTGGAAAAACATCAGAGCCATGTCATAACCTGACATCACCCTCCTCTCTGTCTGTCTTCTTGGGATGACCAACACACTCCTCTTGTTATTCGGCAAGAGCTGTGTGCTGGTCAGCACCACAAGGCCAGTGAACCCCAGATAGTGGCACTCTGGCGCTGGATACCAAACAGCCCATCACGAGATAGCACACTTCTCGCTGTCAACCACACCGCGAGAAATGAGGTTAAATGGCACTATCTACACTATATGGGAGCCTCTTCTATTTTTATTAACGGCGTTGACAGCCTCTATTCTTTGGAGAGAGGCAGCACAATTCTTGGAAATGGTTATAAATAAGTACCAAGGTGTCCACAAGGATTCCTATTTATCTATTTTTCATAGTTTTGCATTGTTTTCAAAAAATTGGAGACATCTGTTTTTGATGCATGATGTGTTTCATAAATGCATCTCAATCTGCAATCCAAACATACTTCAGATGATTCAGTGCGGTGAAAACTGCTGTTAATGATTGCAGAGGACCTGTTTGCTCTTAATTTCTTTGATGTAATGACCCTTTAAACAGCACGGAGAACTTGTTAGAAGGGATTTCAGACAAATTGAAATTCCCCCTTAGGGACATTTCGTTGATACCAACAACCGTGGTAACTATACAATCTACCTAATCTCCCACCATCTTTTTCCACTGAGCTATTTGGTCGGTGTGGGAAAAGTGGAGCAGCTGTATGTAACATCTCTTTTTATCCACTCACACTGGAAAAACAACATCAAATGCTGAATGGTTTCCAGTGGAGAAGCATTATTGTAACAAGACTCTGTGAGGCTGTACTTTAACATGTTGATGTTCAGATGCTGTTTGTCGTGTTTACCATCTTAGCTTAGCTCGCTTTACATGTTAGTATTCTAACATGTATTGCAATTAACAAAAGTACAGCTGAGGCTAAGACAAATTGTAATTCAGAGGATCCTCAAAGTAATTGGGATTTGTCCTCTGGGGACCATGAATGTTGTTGAGATACTTTAGTCTAGGCTAACCCTAGAGGCACAATTCTGGTGTTACTATAAATGTCTTAAGCTAAGTTCGCATTCATAACTCACCTAGCAGCTGGACCCCCCTGGTGAGGCCGTAGATGTCTATAAGAGCCCACAGAGGAACAGAGACATGCACCCCGCTGAAGAACAGTATTGGGCTTGAGTCGTTGATTCGGTAAAACACCCGGCCTTTCTTGTCTACCCAGAAGGAGATGATGTTTCCCTCATTGGACAGCTCCTCTGGTAGAGCTTTTGCCCAAAAGCCGCTCTGCGAGACCAAGTCAGGGCAGGCGTACTTCGGCAAGGTGTCTGGATTGATCCTCGATGGGTCTTTGGATGTAAAACCAAGACGCAGAGCACCGCTCCAGCAGCACTGCTTTTTGGTGATCTGGAGTACACAGTTTTCAGAAATGAAGATGTTTCAAATGATAGCTAAAATGTTGCTTCTTTAAGTTAAGAATGACCATAATCATTGTTCATTTTAGTGGGTTAGCATGCTATCATTTGCTAAACACAAAGCGCAGCTGGGGCTGAAATTATGGTCATTACTTTTGCAGTATTTGACTAATAAAGATTATGACCTTGCTGGTAGAAACATAGAGCAAAAACCAACGTTTTTTCTGTGGCCACTGTGGGACTGCTGTACACTTTATCCAATAGCTGCTAAAATTATACTCAGACCGATATTGAAATCTGTAGCATCAAGCCGCTAGCGTGGCTACATTTCAATTTTAAGCAAACTAAGACGAGTTACCTTGGTATGTTTATCACCTGCAAACGATTTTTGTCTTATTTTGAACCTCTGTTTACTTTGCATTTACCGTGCCAGATAACAGTAATCCTCACATGGCAATGCTTGCCCTGCTCTCTCACTTTCGAGACATAGATGGCCTGATAGGTGAAGTGGAAACTTGTTCTAAGCTGCTGCTGCTTTGGCCCACACAAGAGCAAGCAGAGAAAAGAGAGAAAATCAAAACAGGAGAGCAAAGAAGGGGGATGTGCAGAGAGAGGGGGAGGATTAAAAAAAGAAAGAGGAAATGTAAGGGAGAATGGGAGAGGAAGGACTCTCCATCACAGTCACAATTAGCGTCTTCCTAATTTACAGTGTCTCTCACTGTACTCTGTATTTGAATATAACAAAATACACTATGCACTCACACTGACAGTGTTCTTGGTAGAAGTTTACTCGAAATTGTTTTTTAAAGTTAAATTGTTTACTGAAGATGGTGGAAGCCATCTGGATGATTAATGTTGGACTGGTGTAATCCATTGTTGGTTTTGAGTTGCAAATGGTGGCAGCGTCGTGTTTAACAAATTATTGTTGCTTATTTATCAAATATGATGGTTTTGATTAGTCAAGTTTTTTTTTCAAGTTTAGCTTAATGTAGCCATTTAACAATTTTTTTAAACGAGTACTCGTTTGTCACTAACGTCAATAATTGACAATAACGCCCCACTCTATTGGTTTTAATTATAGTTAAGCATGCTTGGATCTTTCAATTGACCTGTAATTGTAACTCTCATTATGTTATTATGTAACTATAATATGCAACTGGCAAACATTAAGTGTAATTTTTACCTTCAGACGAACTTGCTCATACACAGCGGTTGGTCTGTTGCTGAAGGTGATGGCGTTGCAGAAGCTGGCCTGTCTCTTGACGGTGCGTTGGGATATGTCCATGACGATCTGCGAGCCCTTGGTGCTGGGGTGGAAGAGCAGAGGGAAGGAGGACAGACTCCCACATGGCTGGATGGGCAGGCAGCGCTTGGGCTTGTGGTGGCATCGGTGAGATGTGGCGGGAAATGGCCTGTTGAGAGAATCTACAGAATGTGGAGAAAGAAAAGTGGTTGCTCAGTGTGGTCCACAGTTGGGGAGCAGAAACTACATTACTGAATAAATTCTTCTTGGGGCACAATTTACAGTAAAACAGGTTTAAGATTAGATTAGAATATTAGATTACACAGTCTGCACCACCGCGGGCTTCACTTTGAATATAATATAGTAGCATGGTGAAGTGGACTCCAGGTTGTGACCTGCTGCTGTCACATTTAATTTCCTCTCACATATCTCACTTGCTCCTGTAACATCAATTTAAATGAGAAATGCTTTAAAAATAATCTAATACCCAGTTTTCAGTTTCTCAAGGTAACACAGTGCAGCCACACACCTACATGAAAGGACATTGCGCAAAGTCAATTACATGCAAATATGTCCTTGGATGCAAGGACAACATTGCTTTCTTGGTTACGTAATTGAGGAGAACAAAGGAGCTTTGAGACGTTCATACAAAATGCTCCAGTTTCAGTAAATAGTCATTTGCAGTAATCCCAAAAACGTTTGTTATTTTTCTTATTCTTGCCAGATTTTAAACTGGTTTGAAAGTTTATGTCTCACCGTGCTGGAACACATTTACAGTATAATCAGTAGAAAAGAGGAAATGGGGGATAATGAAAACAAAAAATTATTAGCTAACATTTAAGGTGCTCTAACATCATATCTAGCATTTGAACTAGATCCACAGAAAGCAAGTTTAGGATCGTACAGGATGTTAGCTATATGTTCAGCTGTTAATACACATACGGTATATACAGTAAATATCTGCTTCTCTTTAAATAGTTAGTCACGTTCACACTACCTTTCAGAGTGAAACTAAAATAAAAACACTGCTGCTAAGTGAGATTACAGTAAGTGACATTTATTGTGTTTTGCAGGTCAAATAAGAGCAAACTCAAAGGAGAACATCTGACTCATTTTTCCCATGTGAATCATGACTTCTCCCACTAACCAAAACACGTTTTTCAAATCTCATCTGTCTTTTCGGGTTTGAGATGATAAAGAATTTTCTCATCATGAGTCTGATATCACAGTTTCTCCCCTTCATTAGGACCTACTCCCACTGCTTTTATTTCCACAGTTCTCTTCAAAGCATAACTCCAAGGTCACTGTGGCATTTTGGCATTTGTTCTCACAGACATGGGACATCAAATGTAGGATTATTAGACATACAAATGTAATTGCATCACGATTGGAAACTGTTTTCTGTATCTTTAGTTCTCTCTTCAGTGACATTTAAAGTACGATAAAATCCAGCCAATGTGCCAAAACTGGAAGCCAAATAAATAATTCAGTCCAAATTAACACTTCTTCCTTGAGAACTGCTTGTATTTTCACACCTACATTTGGAAGACTGTGTAGGAGCTGCTTGTGTTTTTCCGTGAGAAGAGTGGACTATATGAGCCAGTGCTGAAAGACAGCTATTCTTGCTTTCCTTCGAGCGACCTTGGAGGGTCAGACGCTTCATAATGTTCCCGACAAATCAATCAACACTGTCAGGATTGGCAAAGACTAATCATGTGACTTCTCGGACCATGTCTGGTATAGCTTCACTATTGTTCAGATTTCAGGGAGGGCAGAGATTAAGGTTTCCGGGATGTTCAAACTTTTGTTGAGTTTAAACTAGAAAGAGTCTTTCCCTTTTCACCACAATCAGAGAGAATATGTCAAGAGTTCTGGGCTCAGTACAGTATATTTGTTAAGCTCTCGTCCCAGCAGAACAATGTTGAATTGTGCTCTGTGCACAACAGTGGTCTTAAATGAAGTCATAACAAATCCTTTAACCATATTGCATCCATGATGTCATGTCAGACGTAATGTCTAAGGGAAAACAAAACAGGAGTGTATTGTGCTCCATAAGGAACCAGGCCTAAGAGTGAATAGAGTATTTCCTGTTAGGTCTGAAAACAGGAGCAACACCTTATGCTTTAACATTTTACCAAAAATCCAATATCTTCTTTCATTTTCACTATATTAATATAATTTCTACTGCGGGGAATTGAATTCTCTAGTCTGTTTTCTATTTTCACATCCCAGGCATCTTTAAATGGGTTCCAGAGCACGCAGAGGGCTATATAAACTATGACTACAGTTGAATGAGTAAATACATGAATAAATAAAAACACCACGCTTGATTTACTGTAAATGACAGCTGGTTAGAGCCAAAAGTACTGATGATACAGTGGCTGTTGAAGTGTGTTTAAAAAAAGTCATGCGACCTGACGGAGACGTCAGAGTAAACAGTGACCAGAGCCCTGTCATGATAAAAGAGAGGTGCAATGACGAATGTCAGATGAGCAACTTAAGGGAGGATAATGTTACTTAATGCACCACCGAACACAATGTGACTGCCTCGCTGTCATTAATTGGAAAGGAGAAACCGTGCAGAGACCCATTGTGGCCCATTGTCACCTGGTCTCTTACGCTCTTACTGTGTTTTATCCCCAGGCTCGGTCTCAGTAAGAAGCCCAACTGAGGCCCTAATGCAGTGTGACGTTAGTATGGAGCTCGATGGCCCTTTCTCACAAGACAAGAGCTCACAGGCAGCACCCTAAAGAGCCAAAGGGCACATATATGTTTTGAGCCTTTGCAAGTGTCATAGCATGTGTATTGTATTACAAGGTAAACTGAAGTGATTTTAATACATGGAGAAATATAAAACATCCTCCCATAAGTACTTGCTGTCAGTCCTGTTACTGTACTTTAACATTGATGTTCATTTTTCATCGAGTGACATGTTTTTAATTTAACCCTAAAATAGAATAGATGTTGGCCTGATAGTCTCCCAGTTTGCTGTGTCTTTTGCATACAATATTGTGTTTTATAAAAAAATTTAAAAGTGTTATTAGATTTGGATCCTTAAAGAGAAAGTCATCGAGTTCCCAATTTTTAAGAGATTATTTTTATTTTCACCAAAAAGAGACGTGAAGCAGAAACCCCTTTATCCTACAATAATTATCTTTTTTTTATGAAAGACTATAAATACAATCAAATAAGGCTAACTATTCTTGTCATTAATGTTAAAAAGCTGAACTAGATTTACTCAGATAGTCATGATGTACTCAAGTCTAAGGCAAAGTTTTAATATTATTTTTTTTTTTTGTACAGCCACATAAACCAGAGTGAACAATCAAATCCTCACATTTAGGAATCTGGAACCAGAGAACATTTTGCATGTGCTTAAATAACTGATTCGTATAGTTTCCCAATACTCTTCTGGTTGTGCCTTACTAAATTCAATGATTGACTTATTTTTGCAGCTCCACATGGTCAATTTCAGACCATTTTTTAATTATGGACTCGGAGACTTGTGAATTGTCAGAACATAAAATAGTCTATTAATACAGTAGAGGAGTAGAAACCCGCAATATTAAGTCAAAACACACTTTAAAGTGTTCAGCCCACATTGCATTATTATTTATATGTTCAATCATGCATGTTGTGAGTGTATCACAATCAGAAAACCAATGGATACAGCTTTACATTACGATGGTATTTATTGTAACAAATAACTCAACTTCTAAATGGTTTATTGTAACTAGTCAGCTAGAAAGCTTCTGCAAGAAATGTCAATGTAAACTGAGATAGGAATGTGATAAATAAGAGCGCTCAATGCACCTGTTAAACAGAAATAAATAATTGACCAATTGATCCTCACATAAGTTGAACAATAAAGTTATCAAAAATGTTTTCCAAACATGCGGATATTCACCCTGTGAGTGTATCACTTTCAAACAAACAAGCCAGGTGAGAAAAGTTATGTGTCAACTACTTTCAGTTTATCCTGGGGGATTTATTTGAATTATATTGTAAACAACCTTAGATGCAGAACAAGAATAACAAGAATCCTTAGATAGTGTAGACGTTTTTCAAAATGTGAAAAACATGATTACCTGTTCACATTTCCCCCTTATTTAAAGCCAGTCGTGACTTACAGAAGGTGTTAAAACTTGGCTACTTTCACTTCAAATGTATTTTAGGCATCCAGGACGCCTACATTTCACATGCACACAGGCTCTAGGCTGCACAGGCACGCTTCCGACCCGATTACATCGTGTCCTCTCATAATAATCACCGGATGTATTAGTTGTAGTTATCCTTTAGGCCAGATGTGCTTACCGTAGAAGGTATTCCTGGTGATCTGACCTCCCATGGCTGCATGCAAGGTGCGTTCACCTCCGCTCTCTCTACCGGCTGAATCCGCGATATTCACATCCAGCTGCGCGTCTGCAGCGGTAACATTATACGGACACGATGCCGTTCACAAAAAAAAAAAAAAGTCCCGACAATGATTTAGATGCAGGTTGTGCCTGTCAAGCCTCATCGACATGAAGCAGCAGATCCAGTGCGTTTAGAGATCACGCTGAAATTAACATAAAAGGTGGTAGTGGAGGTGGGGCTTCCCGGGACTATTAACGCTGTAGCTACCAAAGAGGGGACCTCAAGAGCCTCTACAAGCAATACATAACCATCATATTCCTGTTGACTCAGTCTTAGAGGACACTTATCTACCTCTAATACATATTTGATAATTATGTAGAGGTTTATGTGTTACTTATCTTACCATTTGTATTTTGAGTTTGTTTTATTCATAGGCTTATGTCTTTATCCTTATTTCACTCCATTCCTGTAGTCTTTCCCGAAAGATGCACAGTTTTTATATAACAAAAATGTGCCCCCCTGCCCCACACATACACACCTGTTATCAGGACTAACCTGCTAGATGCCCATACTTTGCTTTCCCCAAGCTAAGGGGTACTTTATATTAAGAATCTCTTTCCCAGCATCACTTGACATAAAAATGCAGGAAGGAAAGTTTTTTAGGATGTAAAGTTATTTTGGCATAAACCCCACTGAAACAATCTTGAAAGGCCCTTCTGGTAACTGTCTGATAACACGGAGATGTCACACTGCTGGCAGTTTTTTCCAGTAAATAGGAATGGCGGGTCAACAATGAACAGGCAGAAAAAACGCTGGCTTCAGGCTAAATCTCATAGGCCTACTATAGCTGAGTAAGTGAGTTTGAAAAGTAAGACTGTGCAGTAAATTAACTTACGTTTTTACTTCATAAAGGTTGATAATTTGTGTCTGGGGTTTGGTAACAAATCTGCCCATTTAGATCTACTTCAGGGGCTTAAGTCTGCCTTGTTGCCTTGGCGTTTACATAACTGGATAACTGGTGTCTGCAGCCAGGCCTGTGAGACACTATATTGGCTCAGCATGAGCTATATTCTCAAGTTGTTTATACAAACTGATTGCGGTTTACTCGACTGACTGTACGACAGCATTCATGCACCATATTACATACATATTTTTTTATGAAAAGTGTTCAAACGGATCTAATGTGTCACAGGAAATTGAGATGAACTATACATATGAAATGGAAAAGTGTCAACAGAAAATGTAGGAATCTATGGCATGGGCCCCTGCAGCTACGACAGTCACACTTAATGGAGTTTGACATGCCACCTGATCACTGGGCTGTCATAATCTGATTGCTGTTCTGTAATACAAAGAGAAGTGTTGTTCACTGGGAAATAATCAAATAAGATTTTTAGTTTCCTACAATAATATCAAAGCAGTAAAGCAGTATACCACCAAATATGTATTTTAGGAAGGTTGCCAAAAAGCTATTTTGAAAAATCAATATCAAAAGAGTTAATAATCTTCCCTGTATTTGCCTTGAATGCACCCTATTGTGTCACACTGGAAACAACAAAACTGTAATCACATTGCTGATGAGCACGTATACCAAGTACATAATTCACACTGATAAATCATTGTCAGTAATTGTGTGTCTCTTTGTGGTAATTGAAACCGTTCTTATTTCCAACTTGTCTCACACGAAGGTTTGGCCAGGGCCATTTGGCGTCACTTTCTAACACATGGGGTAACCCTACATGGTTGCAGAAAACACTTGGTTAACATTTTGAACAAAACAACAACTCGTGGTTAGGTTTCGGAAAAGAGAGTGTTTTGGGGTATAATTAATACCATGACATAATAAAATAGCTTGACGTTGCGATTTGATGTCACACAGGACACACATAGTGGTCTCCTGGGTTAAAGCTGGGTTTAACGTCTATATAAGCGGACTTTATTGATCGTTATACTACGTCATCAGTCTTCCAGAGTACTTGATCTAGAGCGTGGATGGCATTGATCGTGGTTACTTGAATACCCGTTTGGGTCTCATTCCGGCACTAAATGGTGCCTTGTGCGTCAGTGTCAAATGCTGAAGGCTTTAAAAAATAGATGGTATCTTTCCCCTGGAAGTGAGACCGTTTTTTGTAGTCAGACATTTTGCAATTCGCTTTGTTTCTTTTTCTTTTTGAGTTGCAGTCCATTTGCATTTATTTCTGGTTGTTTGTGTCTTTTTGTGGTGAGTTTGCTTCTCCTCGTTGTCACTTTGCGTCTCTTTGTAGACCCTCGATTTACTATTCATCAAGATATGTTAACTGGGCCCATGCCTAGAAACCCATGGGGTCAGGGGGCCCCATATACTGAGTCCTGCAACCCACGACTGAAAACTGTGTAGGCCTATAGGGCTTAAGTTTCAAAATACGCAAACGTTTAAAAAGATTCAAACACTACTCTATTCTCAGCACTATTATTACCAAGTTTTTTGTGTAATAGCTCTGATCAGGATTGTTTATACACCGTGTGCCCTGACAGAGCGGACTGACACCTCTTCCTGCGGTAGATTATTTGTAGATGGGCGCCTGGCAGGGTGTGCTGGCTGGGGCCTCGGCGGACATCTTGACAGCCTTGTTTGTCAAGCAATACAATTACTAACAAAGCACTTATATACTAACTAAGCACTCATATACTAACTAAGCACTTATATACTGGCTCTATGAAACCAAATGTACTTATATGATTCTGTTTTCTTCAAGTTTGTATCTTCTTGGTCGAATGCACTTATTGTAAGTCGCTTTGGATAAAAGCGTCAGCTAAATGCAATGTAATGTCATGTTTGAGGCAGCCGTGTGCACGCTTGCTCTCTTCGGGGATGATGATGTTGAACAAAAACACCTTTCAACTCAGAGTTTGGACCCTCGTCCTGCAGCCATTATGCAAAACATTACAGAGCAACACAAGAGCATCATATGATCCTCGACAGGGGGGCGTCAGCAGAAAAGGAACCCAACCCGCCAGGCACGTATCGGAGGTGAAATCAAGTTGTCACATAGCATTAAAAACAGGGACATAAAGAAGACACTGGGGGAAAGTTTATTGATCATGAGATTGTACGAAGTGTATATGGAAGGTACTTGCACACAACATTCATCTACATTTACCAGAATCCAGTTTATTTATTGGCAAAGTATGCTCACGGAAAGAATTTTGACTTTAGGTGTAAGAGGCTCTCATTGTATGCTGTGGCAAAAATATCCAGACAAACAAACACTTTCAGCTGAATTAAGCTAATAGGTGTAAAATAGTTCACTATAGTTAATTGTCCCCGACAATGCCCCAGATTTCTTTACTTATTTTCTTTCACAATTTCATCGAGTGGAGTCTTCAGCGGTTTTGAGCAAAGGGATGCAGAGCTAACAAAAATAACATAACAGCATTATGAGCTTGGTTTGGATTTTATTTAACCTGGCGTTCAGAGGTGTCCAGTGATCCAGATACTGAGGAACTAAAGGATCATCACTGAGATTGCGATGTGTTTAAAGACCCGAGGGACCGTGAATCTACTCACTCATAGTCATAGTATTAGTTTACATCTCACTGTTTCCTGTAAGAATATAATTCTTTCTGATCATCAATATTTCTGTGATTTTACCATACTACAGGATTTGTTATCATATAGCATGTGGTCTACAGCAATGTTGCCATGCACTCCTCTAAGGGTAATTGCTATTGACCAAGATGGATAAACGTGCCTAGTACCACAAATTGAAAGCGTCTCCTGGGTTAGGAAAAATATTTTCCATGTACTGTAGGAGAGGCAGCACCACAGGGTATATGTTGGTAATGGGGTCAACATATTTAAAGTCAATATTATTGATTAGTCACACTGCTTCTCAGAAGTTAAGCACAGTTGATATGACTATTACACTTGGAACTAATGCACAGTTGCACAACAAATGGTTTGGCATGATTTAGTTGTTGCCCTTCTGTCGCACCAAAAAAACGGAGACGTGACTTGGACTTGACTGCATGGAGCCCTTTCTTACTTGACTCCCTTCAGACTTGGCTTTCAGACAACTGAATACAAATACAATCCACGTTTGGATGTCAATTATGGCCAGTTACTGTAAATGTGCCTCTTGTCCATGTGTACTTTGTCCTCTTTCCAGGCATTTGTTAGATCAATTCGGTGTTGTGGTCCAGCTCCTTAGCATGCACTTAATTAACTAAATGCTGCCATTCTGTTTCTCCATGGGGACATTTTACAGTAAATGATTTGTGTGCGCAATCTATTGCATTTTTTCCTGTCCTGGAAGGTTTCCTCCCTAGTTTTCCTCTAAGACTATTTTCTTTCCTAATTCGGACGTGATAGAGATTCGGTTTTCTACAGATTTGTGTTTTTGTTGGCTAGAGCCTGCCTAGCTGTTATAGGTGTTTTAAAGTCACTGTGTGTGGCTAAGCTTACCGGCTGCTGGCTTTCTCATCACTGCACCAGGAAGTCAATAAACACATTTATTTTTATTTTGAGACATGTATTTAACTTGTCCCAAAAGATTTGTATGTAAATGTCATTCTGTGTTCCTTGTATTCATGTCTTATAATTTGCTATACTATAAAAGAAATTCATCATTAGCCTATTTACTCACCCACGTTATTCAAAACTCTGGTGACATTTAAATAACTGTTATACGCCTTCTAATTTAGCCCCCCCACAGCTCCATCGCAGCCGTCTCCCAGTGTGCAGAAGTTAAAAGAGCCGTTCTTTTACTGCCACAAAACAGCATCAAATATCCATTAAAATCTCTCAAATGTTTTCATGCAGTCATCAGGTTGTTGTAGCCAAACAATTGCTATGTGGGTCCAGTTATTATTACCTCTATTTTCCTCTGTGAATATGCTTTGTTGTAATAGGCACACACCAGACCACATCACCCGAGCACCATTTAGTGAGGGAAATAATGAGATATTCAGGGAAATTTGACGGACAATTTTTGTTGGTTTGTTTTTCTTTCCTTTCTTTGTCAGAATAGATATTTTCGTTAACGTCAGCAGTCTGGGAGATGATGGTGACTCAAGCGTTACTGGAATTCTGATTGGTATGGGGTAAGTTGAAAATAACAGAATTAATTAAAAAACATATATAT